TGCCAAAGGTAGATTGTATTTCTACAGAAGTCCAAAAACACAAGTGAATATATCTTCTCCTGTGGTAATAACAGGCATCGGTATTAGTTCCAGTAATTCCTCAAAAATGTTAAAATTCTTGTCACAAGAACGGAGAAACACTACTAATTGAGTTATGCCACTAATGTCCGTACTCTCTTCACAAGCAATGGAGAAACTTTCGAAACTAGATGATTTTGCTTTGATCTGATCACTTAAATTCGCGGCTAAATCAGTAACTCTTTCCGCAACTGTATTTCGAGACAATGAAATTGATTGAAAAGCCTTCACATTTCCAGGACAAACAATTTTTTTAGGCATTCCTTGATGAAATTACCGTCAGTAAAAGGCTTTCGAATGTTTATCTATCAACTCGGACAAGACGTAGGTTGCATGTACCGCCACTTCACTTTCTTGCAATACTTTACTAAACATGGACTGTTGCTTTTTCACTCCTAACTTGAGCTCTTTCAACTTTTCTTCTCTCATTAATCCTTCGTAATTTTTATATTTCGATTTGTGTTGTTCGTAATGACGTTTAATATTATATAACTTTGGTACATTAATAGTATTATTACATATCAAGCAGATTATTTTATCTTTTATTTCACAGCAAAAATATTCTAATTCCCATTTTACTTGGAATATTCTATGTTCGTCAGCGATTTTTCGTTTAATTTTACTACCACTTGGTTTTGATATAGACATACTGAATACAAAGGGCTGGAATAAACACGGTTAACGTTAAAAAGTTAACAAAAATTTATTCTTTCCACAAGAGATAAATCAAAATGCTGAAAATATTTCTTCAAAAATATTCTAACAATATCACAAAATGTCAAACGTTTAGCAAAAATCAATTCAAAACAGAGAAACTAATTCTATCTCACAGCGAAATCGCTACAAATCAATCACAGCATTAAAACAAACAGTTCGCTAGAACTACAGCTACTACTGAGATGAGTTGTTTGTTCTCGGCTTTTATAAGCTTTATAATTAATTTCTCGAATATACTGGAAACATCTATAAATATCTGGATTTTTGTGGATGGCAACAGCAATTACGAGATATTTATTTATTAGGTATTAAATGCACGCGCTGTTCTATTTTTAACCTTCCAACGCAGCTGTCTTTTTCAAAAATCGTCTGCGTTGCTAAGGCAACATGAAGCAAATCTAATTACAATTCTAAAAAAAAAAAAAAACTAAATAAATAAATAACTATGAAATCCGTAACAATATGAATTAAGTAATAATTAATAATAAAGCAAAGTGCATGCACATGCATGCACCAATATATCGTACAAAACTATGATTGGAAAACTGAGACCATGAGTTCGGCCACATTCGGCTATCGGGGGATGCGTACAAGTTCTGAGTGCACGTGTTCCCCAAAAGCCGAAGGTAGCTGAACGCAAGCTACTCACACGCATTTGTAATTTAAGTAGTGTGTGTGTCAGCTCGCTGTGAGTAATCTAACAACACTGAATAAATTATCGTTAATTACTTAGCAGTAAACATTTCATTTTTTTCTTTGTCGATATGTTATTTTATTATTATATATTATTATTTGCCGATATATTGGCCGGGCCGCAAAAAAATATTTGTGTGGGCCGCGAGTTTGACATCCTTGCTCTAAGCGAATACCTGAAAAGTGCATACTATTTCTAATGTTTAAAGTTAAATCATTGGTAACAAGAGAATATTTGACGACACAGAAATCCATTGCAAAATCTAGATATATCATCATAAATTACAAATAATTAGTGACAACGAAATGGCATCACTGTGACAGTATTCATCAAGGAGGTTAGAATAGAAGGAGGGAAGGTTCAACTCAAACGGTGAAGCTTGGCGGCCATATTACTGTTATCGCTGTGACTTGTGCAAGGTAATTGCAACATTTTTTTTCTTTTCTTTTTGAAGCATGTCAGCTTGTGTTGCATATGAATGCACAAATAGATTTTCGAAAAAGATTCCTGGAATTACTTTTCACTCGTAAGTATTGATTTTCGTTTTCTATGTAATTTGATAAATATCACAATGTCATGTTGTATTCTTTCCAGATGTGAAAAAGAGTACTTAATAATAATCAAACTATATTAAATACGTTTTAATGCTTTTGTTTATAGCTGATATCCTCGTTCCTTAACATACAATGATATATGCTAGGATTTAAACTGTATAATTTGAACGTTTTAAATAATTCGTTTTAGAATTTTCATTAAAAATAAGAAATCAATTGTTACTATTTTTATGAATTGTAAATGTGTTAAATAAAGTAATGCTTTTATTTATGTATTAATTATTATTCATGTTTAAGTTTTGTGAACTGTTAGGAATATAATTTGTGGATTTGATCAAGATAAACTACCTGTTTTGTTGTTAAAATTTTTTTGCATAAATTTACAAATTTGTGAGCAGTAGAGCGATAGAAGTAAAATATTTACACAACTGAACATGTGGAAAGATGTATCCAAATATTTATATTGGTATATTTCTGTAATTCACCTTAATTCAAGGAAATTTCTTTCAGACTGAAATATGAAACGAACATAAACTGAAATCATTTAATTCACATAAATCTGTTTTATTTTATTAATATTGATTTTCATGTTGTTATAAGGTTGTTGGTTGTGAAAAGAATCTATTTAAAACTTTCATTAAAAAAAATGCAACTTGTGACTATCTTTTTAGATAATTATCTGCTATTAATTTCAGGTTAAAATTATTTTAAATGATTCTTTAATAAATTATAATATTGTGAATGTATCAGAAATATCACTTGTTAAAAATTGCAAAGTACACCCAACAGGCTGCTAATAAAACCTAAACAAATTCTTGAAATATACAGAAACTTCATTTTTTAAAGGCTTTAATGTTATGCACTTGCATTTAGATTTCGAACTAGTTCTTAATGATTTTCTGTACGTAGTTAATTAAGAATATTATCTTTATAACTTTAAAACAAAAAACTAACAATAGCGAAGAATTTCATTATAAATTTAACATATTTTTACTGGAAAATACATGCACAGAACAGCTTAAAAACACGTACGTTTCACTGCCGTAATGCAATGTTTAGAAGTTACAAACATGGACGCCGCTTGTTCGGTGGAATTTCATTTCCCGACAGTGGAGGAAACTGCGAACCCTCCCTCCTTCTATTCTAACCTCCTTGGTATTCATCGTTATTTAAAAAGTAGGGAAATATCGGGAAATTTTGGGGAAAATTTTTGTCATTCCCATTTAGTCGCATGTAATTTGCTTCATCTTGTTGATAAACAAAAAATGTAAGCTGATCCAGGTAAGTAGATGCTTTGTCTGAATTTTCATGGGTAGTTAAGAGATTGGCATTACGAAATTGAATCGTCGTAACTAAAAACTAATTTTGAACACTTTCAGTCATTTCTCTCTGTTGACATTTGAATTAGTTTTTGATTAATTCAATAGCTTTTAACGCAGATTGCGGAGAATTTGTTGTTTAGCTTTTAAATGCATTAATTTAGCTATTATTGTATAGTATTTTTATTAATAAAAAGAAACACTGGTTTATGAATTTTTGTTCTCCTTTTAGTAGCATAAATCATACATGAATGATGCATAAAGCTTAGAAAGGATTTTTGAGGAAATTGTTGATTATATTGATAAAAATGTTAGCATTAGCCCTTATTAAATTAAATGACTGAAGATTGTTATAATTTACTATTTATTATGAAGTGGAAGTATTTTGAATGATTTTGTTACATAACAGGCATAAGAATCATTGATTACAAAGAAAATATTGCCCTGTAAATTGTTACACTTCTCTGAGAGATGCGTATTACAAGACAGAGATATGACAAATGTAGTAAAAATGTATTAGAACTTACCTTTTTGTATTACACGCTATAATTAGTAATTTATAACAATATCACAAAATGTCAAACGTTTAGCAAAACTCAATTCAAAACAGAGAAACTAATTCTATCTCACTGCGAAATCGCTACAAATCAATCACAGCATTAAGTAAACAAACAGTTCGCTAGAACTACAGCTACTACTGAGATGAGTTGTTTGTTCTCGGTTTTTATAAGCTTGTATTACACGCTATAATTAGTAATTTATAACAATATCACAAAATGTCAAACGTTTAGCAAAACTCAATTCAAAACAGAGAAACTAATTCTATCTCACGCTACAAATCGCTACAAATCAATCACAGCAAAACAAACAGTTCGCTAGAACTACAGCTACTACTGAGATGAGTTGTTTGTTCTCGGTTTTTATAAGCTTTATAATTAATTTCTCGAATATACTGGAAACATCTATAAATATCTGGATTTTTGTGGATGGCAACAGCAATTACGAGATATTTATTTATTAGGTATTAAATCCACGCTCTGTTCTATTTTTAACCTTCCAACGCAGCTGTCTTTTCAAAAACCGTCTGCGTTGCTAAGGCAACATGAAGCAAATCTAATTACAATTCTAAATAAAAAAAATTAACTAAATAAATAGCTATGAAATCCGTAACAATATGAATTAAGTAATAATTAAGCAAAGTGCATGCACATGCATGCACCAATATATCGTACAAAACTATGATTGGAAAACTGAGACCATGAGTTCGGCCACATTCGGCTATCGGGGGATGCGTACAAGTTCTGAGTGCACGTGTTCCCCAAAAGCCGAAGGTAGCTGAACGCAAGCTACTCACACGCATTTGTAATTTAAGTAGTGTGTGTTTCAGCTCGCTGTGAGTAATCTAACAACACTGAATAAATTATCGTTAATTACTTAGCAGTAAACATTTCATTTTTTTCTTCGTCGATATGTTATTTTATTATTATATATTATTATTTGCCGATATATTAGCCGGGCCGCAAAAATATTTGTTGTGGGCCGCGAGTTTGACATCCTTGCTCTAAGCGAATAACTGAAAAAGTGCATACTATTTCTAATGTTTTAAAGTTAAATCATTGGTAACAAGAGAATATTTGACGACACAGAAATCCATTGCAAAATCTAGATATATCATCGTAAATTACAAATAATTTGTGACAACGAAATGGCGTCACTGTGACAGTATTCATCGTTATTTAAAAAGTAGGGAAATATCGGGAAATTTTGGGGAAAATTTTTGTCATTCCCATTTAGTCGCATAATTTGCTTCATCTTGTTGATAAACAAAAAGTGTAAGCTGTTCCAGGTAAGTAGATGCTTTGTCTGAATTTTCATGGGTAGTTAAGAGAATGGCATTACGAAATTGAATCGTCGTAATTAAAAACTAATTTTGAACACATTCAGTCATTTCTCTCTGTTGACATTTGAATTAGTTTTTGATTAATTCAATAGCTTTTAACGCAGATTGCGGAGAATTTATTGTTTAGCTTTTAAATGCATTAATTTAGCTATTATTGTATAGTATTTTTATCAATAAAAAAGAAACACTGGTTTATGAATTTTTGTTCTCCTTTTAGTAGCATAAATCATACGTGAATAATGCATAAAGCTTAGAAAGGATTTTTGAGGAACTAGTTTAGCTTCACAATAATTTCTGAAAACCATGTCTATAGTAGGGGAAGGAAGAAAAAGCGGTTCAGCAAATAGGGTAGTGATTTTAGACTGGAAAACTTTCTTTCCCTCAGACCATCAAAACGTACACAGCTCACCATGATGTTTTTCAGTCTTCTATTCCCAGCCAGGAAAACATCTTCACTGATTGACTTCTCAATTTTCATTGCCTTTCAGTGATTCTTTTCTCCGGCTAGATACACTCCACTGTCCCATCAAGCAAACTGAAGAGAGTAGCCAACCTCTAGCAGACAATAAATGATATCATTTCTTCTTCACACTACATGATCTCCAGACAAGGTGAATAATCCTACCAGCTCTTAGGCCTCACTTTCCATACTTTATGAAATCACCTAGGCCTCTAACCTTTCATACTTTATGAAAACAACACTTTCTACTCTTTAGCTTCTTCACTAGCCACCATTTACTAGGGACTCACACTGGAAAGACAATTTTCACCCCCATCCGTGGATGCATTGCAAGGTAAAAGCATACAAATTGCTAGCCTTTTAGCCAGATCTCATTTCTACAAGACAAGATGTTTTTCTGATACTTTTAGTGAGACAAAGTCAGCTTGAAGTGAAAACCTCCCTTTGGAACAGATGATAGAAACATTCCAGGCAAATTCTGGAATTCAGACAGCTTTAGGTATAAAAAAATAATTTCACACATTTTTAAGTACCAAATTCTTTCTGTTACATAAAAATTTTAGTAAGTTACAAATTGTTGAAAAATGTCCATTGAATCAGAAAATAAAGATTCATTAATTTTACAGAAAGGAAGGGGAAAAAATTAAAACACGATTTATTAGCAAAACAGTTAAGTTTAAACACCACTTTTTTAAGTGTTACATAAAATCAAAATTTAAAATTGATGAACCTTAAATGTCATACCAAACAAACTTAAATTAAGTTTTCAAATAGAAATTAAATAAAAGTTTCTCCTCAAAAGTTAATAAAGGTTAATCATCACCATTAATTAAAATTTGAGTAAAACAACTGCAGCTCAGATCAAAACTTTCAATTAAACAAACCACTTTAAATAAAAACTAATCAGTTAAAAAATAAATATCAAAATAGCTAACAATTACACAACACTGCATGCATACCTGTCACCACATAAATGTCTCTTTTCAACATTGCAAATTGTCACATAACTATTTTGGTGACATACTGTGTTGTCTCGGGAATACTTTTTTTAGCCTTTTTGGTGGGAACTGCAGGCAATTAGAAAGTACCAAATGTAGGTATAGTTTGAAAGATAAGTAAAGATCTTGTAATGAATAACAATACTCTGGATCCTGATTAGTTGCCAAAGCATAATGCAAATGTCCAAAAAGTTCATAAGAATTTCCATGAAGATACTTCTAACATTAAAAAAAAATAAAATAAAATAAAAAACTTCGAAGATAATGTATATTAAAATATGTATCACACCATAATTTTTAATGAATTTTGTAATGAAAAATTCTTTTAGATAACCATGGCTCAGAGTTATTCTGAAATATTCTCTGTGTTCCAAAAGTATATGGAAGATGAAGACAACTTACGTGAAGTGAGTTAAATTTTTATTTTCACTTGTTATTTTCTTATTTATGTAAACTTTTTTTTATTTTCTGAAAATATGCTTATGGTGAATATAAGGATCAAATAAGTGATGTTTTATTGTTATAGTTCTTTCATCTTCAGGTGGAATGCAATACCAATCATGTATTAAAGTTGCAGTTTTAAATATTTTCCCATTTCAGGCTATTAGAGTTATCGTCAAAGAAATTGAACAAACTAGTCGGGAAATTATAACTTTACTTCAAGGTGTTCACAAAGCTAAAGGTTTATCGCAGAGTTAGTATCATAACTATTATAATATTTTGTATTAATTTTTTTGTAATACTTTTATGTTTATTTATTTATTATTATTATTTTAATCACTGAAATATAATATAGAAAGTTTTCAGTTATTCTCACGTTTTTGAATTTACTTTACTAAATACCATTTATCCTGTTTGTTATAATCATTAACCCCTGACATATGAACAAAATTCCAAGTTGTTGTGCTTAAAAATAGTGAAAAACTATACTGTGTTAGGGGAAAGAAACCTAAGTGAGTGAATTTGTGTGTCTGTATATATATCTATGTATATATATTAAAAAGAATATAATAAAATTAAATTTAAATAATTCCCTTGCACCATTGCTGCAAGGAGTGAAATTTGAATTTAACAAACATTCTTTATTCGTAAAAAGCAAATTTAAAGTTAGTTAAATTTTAAATGAAATTGAATTACAAATAAATGATTAATTATTGCTGCAAACCAATCTACAATATCATTTAAATTCTGATAGTATATTTAAATTAAGTGTAAGTATCAAAATCTATGAATGTATAATAAATGTATAATATATAATTCCAATAAATTTTGTAATCCTAAAAATTTATGAAAATACATAAGTGAATAATTGTTGAGCAGGCAGGAGACAGACTTATTAAGGAGAAGTTGCCTCCAAATCTAACTCTTCAATTATTCAATTCATGTTTTGTCATCCATGTAGGCAAGCGTAGAAGGAAAATTCAAAACCAAAAGTAAAACCAAATGTTGTGAATTACTAAAAAGAAATTTAAACAAGTAGAATTTAGAGAAATTAGCAATTAAAGACTAGAATAATTCAATTAAGAGTAATAAGTCAATTAAGAGTAGAAAAACCAAATTTTTAAAAAAATCAAAGTTATTTAGAAACTAACTTTAAATTTACCTTTTACGAATGAAGAATGTTTGTATATGTGTATATATATATATATATATATATTCAAGTATATAAATGCTCACTTTATAGTCTATACTTGTTTTTTGAAATGACTATAATTTTATAATGTCTGAGGTATGTCAAAAATCTAACATTCAGAATAAATAAGGCATCTCAGAGGTATATCAGCACGTATAGTGTAAATTCATTTTAATTTTGTTAGGTCTGGGACATATCAGAATCTATTTTAAGTGAAGCATTCTAGACTTCACTGTATGTCAAAGTTTTAATAAATGATGTATGATAAAAATCATTAATATCTTCTTACTGTTCATGTTTTTTGCAGTAGTATGCTTATCTTATTCTCCTAAATATCCAGTTAAAGAACTCTGTGTGACAGAAATAGACTACTTTTTTTAAAGAAAAGTTTATAAATTTTTACGTTCAGTAATTTGTAAAATATGTAATTATCTTATATACAGTAGTATATAAGAAAACTGCATCATCCAAATGCAAGCGGAAAGGCGAAAATTCAATAATTTGAAAATGCAGACAGTAGCACAATGCAGGTTTCACAGAAAGGCATGGGATTCTTTTTAATAATGAAATATATTGACAGAATAGTTCTGTTTTACACCAACAGGTGTATTAGGAGATAGTATTTTATACTTATTTATTTCCTATCATAAACATGAAGTATAGAACAAGCAAAAGAACATTTATAAATACAAAAACGTAAGTGATGCCATTCACAAAAAAAGTAATGTTTTTTTTAATAGTTCGCTGGCTTTGCCGCAACATCCTCCCCACCCTGGTCAACCTCCAGGGGGATGACCAGCTGCACAGGTCGGGTAATGGTATGTCCATTGGTGCGCAGAACACAAGTACGGACTCTTTGTCGCGGCCAAGGATTAGCTCCTCAACACGGGCCTTCTTCCAGGTGTGGCGAGGTCTAACATCTTCTTGTAGTAGGACAATGTCCCCTTTCCGTATTTTATTTGTTTCAGATGGATTCCGCACTTGATGAAATGTACGCAAGTCCATCAAATATTCCTTTTGCCATCTTTTCCAAAAGGAGTCCATCAAATGTTGACGATTTTTCCACATATGATTTAAATTTGTTTCAGGATTTGTGGGGCTGGAAGGAATAGTGGTTAATTTCTTTCCTATGAGGAAGTGCGAGGGTGTTAAAGCTTCCTCAGAGTCATCTTTTATTCCATATTCGTGGACAATCGGTCTACTGTTAAGAGCGGCTTCAATATCACATAATACAGTGATCAAACCAGCGTCATCCAAAAGAGCCTTACCTAATGTTTTCCAAAAGCATCGCTTTATTGAGCCTATCATTCTTTCCCAACATCCACCCCACCAAGCCGCTCGGGGGGCGATGAATTTCCATTTGATGTTGTGGTGGGCATAAAACTGTTGTGCCTTGGCAGAGGATATAGTATCCCACAATAACTTCAGCTCTTTGTCCGCAGCGCAGAAAGTTGTGGCATTATCAGTGTACACTGTATGAGGAAGTGAACGTCTAGAGACAAAACGTTGTAATGCAAGTAGGAAGACGTCAGTACGCAGATCGGAAACTAATTCTAAGTGGATAGCTCGAGTTGTAGCACATGTGAAGATGACAATGTAGGCTTTTGTAACGGAGTTATTATTTTTTACGTAGAGTGGTCCAGCAAAATCAATTCCGGTAGTTTCGAAAGGAGATGACTTTTGAATTCGCTCAGCTGGTAAGTGGAGCTTCTATCTGTTCACTTCTCTTTTGTTTCAGTACTTTACATGGAAGGCAAGTCTTTATCACCTTTTTAATGGCTTGTCTTGCTCTTAATATCCAATATTCTGAACGAAGCTGAGAAAGTACAATCCGAACACCGAGATGATGCATTCGTAAATGTGTTTGGCGTATCAGTAGGCTTGTAAAATGATGAGAACCTTCCAATAATATGGGATGTTTTTCAGCATGAGATAAATCAGAAAATTGTAGTCGACCACCAAGAAGTATAATATTGTTCTTGAAGAAAGGGTTAAATTGTTTTATCCTTGATTTCTTAGGGAGTGATTTTCCTGTCAACAGAGCTTCATATTCTGAAGGAAAGGATTCTTTCTGAACGGTCTGTATCCAATAAATACGAGCTTGATTCAGTTCTGTGGCATGTAACTCACCCACTAACTTTTTTTGTTTCCTACAGTTGTGAATAAAGCGAAGAATCCAAGATGTTACACGTAACAATCGAACGTAAGAACTGTAGTTTCCAGCCTTTATGATTGGTTGAGTAGATACGATGTGAAGGGTCTGAACTTTTTCTTTCTTTGCCTCGAAGTTATGACTGTAATCTTTAGAAATAGTATCAGAATGAGGCCAATATTCTAGAGATTTGACTAACCATGGAGGGCCGTTCCACCAAATTTCCAGGTTTTTTAGTGTTGATGGTGAAACACCTCGAGAAAGTTTGTCAGCTGGATTGTCTTTGCCAGGGCAATGTCTCCATTGTGAAGGATTGGTATAGGAAATAATTTCTGTTACTCTGTTGCTAACAAAAGTTTTCCATTTGTTGGGGTCACTGCGTATCCACCCTAAGACAACTTGAGAATCACTCCACAATGTTGCATTTGACGAACAGATGTTTGTTTCAGCACAGAAATATTGCAACAATCGTGCTCCCATCAGGGCCGCCAAGAGAGCTCCAAACGAGGTAAGGTAACTTTCTTTATAGGAGCTAGTTTGTTGCGACTACACACTAAATTCACATTCGATTGGTCACCTTTAAAGGTAACAATGTACAGAACTGAACCATAGGCACGTTCAGATGCGTCACAAAACACATGAATAGCAAAAGGAACATGTGATGAAATCCCTATGCATCGAGGAATTTGAAGGGAGCAAATGTCATCAAGTTCTTTCACAGCTGCATACCATAAAGTTGATAAATTAGCAGGTAGTAGTAATTCATCCCACTTGATTCCAAGAATCCATGTATCTTGGAATAAGATTTTCCCAAGAATAGTAAACGGTGAAAAAAGGCCTAAGGGATCATAAAAACTAGCAATGCAGCGGAGTAACCATCTCTTTGTAAGTGGTTTGTCTGTAAAAACACAGAGGGAAGTCTTGAATGCATGCTTCAAAGTATCAGAAGTTGTATTCCAGCCAATACCTAAGACAGTTGTTTCCGTTTTGTGAGATTCTTCATGTGTTTGTAGTACATCTTTGAGTTTCAAAGAGTTTGTAGCCCATTTTTCCATAGGCAATTTTATTAGAGCCATTAAATTCTTGATCTCGTGATATAGCATTATAATGCGTGATTCAGTTTCCATACTAGCAAGAAAGTCATCCATATAGAGATGTTTATCTATCATTGGTGCAGCAATTGGAAATTCTGCGATATGTTTTGCAGCCAATTCTCGTGTCGCAGCACAGAGTAAAAACGGACTGCAAGTAAGGCCAAATGGTAAACGAGTAAATCTGTAAACAGTTATTTCATCTGTAAAAGTAGTAGGTTGAGATGAATCAGATTTTAATTTGTACCAGAAAAATTTTTGTGACGTCCCTATCTTCTTTATGTAGTGACAACTGTAAAAAAGCTTGCTTACCATCACATGTAACAGCGAATTCATGCAATCGAAATCTTAGTAGACAACCAATAGATTCAGGAAAAAGATTCGGGCCAGCTTCCAAGGTATCGTTCAGTGAAATCATTCCTGGAGCATGCGAGGAAGCATCAAACACAATTCTCCACTTGGTTTCAGATTGTGTTTTCTTTCTTACAGCATGATGAGGAAGGTAATATACTGGCTTCTCATTGGATTCATCTATGGAACAAACTTCAACATGCTTTTGTTCAATGTAATTCAGCATGCAGTTGTCATATTGTGTCTTTAACACATCACTAGATGCAAGTCTTTTTTTTAAGAGAATGAAATCTGTTTTCCGCTATAATTTTGTTTGTAGGCAAAGGTGTGACCAATGGTTTTCTAGGCAGAGACACAATTCTTCGATTGTCTTCAGTGTTGTAAGTTTTGTGAAATTCTGATAAAATTTCTTCATCTCGAGTAGTCATTTTTCGTTTCTGCGCATCTTGTATCCCTATGGAGTCTAATTCCCAGAAGCGACGTACCTGATCATTTAAACAATCAGTTTTAACTTGCACACAAACTTGATGGACAGAAGTCTTCTCAGCGATTGTAGTATGTGTTCTTGTTCCACTAAGAACCCATCCAAACACTGACGGTACCATAACAAAAGATTCTGAAAGCTTGATTGGAGCTTCTGTGGAAACAATTTGCCAATAATGATCACCACCAATAAGTATTTCTATGGGCAGTGAAGAGTCATCCGGAGGATCAGCAATTCTCAATCTTTTCTTCTGAGCAAAGTGAACTATTTCTGGTGGAGCAGTAGGATGTGTAGTATAGGAATTGGAGCTTTCAAATGCGGAGATCAAAAATGCTTGGTTGCTCCACAAACTTGAAAGTGACAGTTGAACACATCTACGTTGTTCTTGTGAAGTAAAAGATTCAAATGCTTGAACTGAAAGTGAGGCAGAACTGACAACTTTAAGCTTCAGTTTTTCAATGAGGTTTGTGTGAACAAAACTTGCTTGGCTACCACCATCTAAAATGCAACGTGTTAATTTAGTAATGCCTGTGGGGCCAGTAACATACACACGAGCAGTTTGCAAATGTGTGAAAATTGTTTTAGGAAAGGTTATGTGATTTACAGCACTGTTAGTTATCCGCAGTTGATTGTTTTCAACAGGAGGACAAATAGAAACATGATGCCTTTTCTTGCATTTAGTGCACCGTGCAGTATTTTTTTCTTGGGCAGTTTGAAACTCTATGACCACGGTTAGTACACAGAAAGCAGCGATTTGAAGTTTTAAGTTTCGAACACGAGTATCATAGTCTCTAACAGTTTCACAATATTGAGGCCAATGTCCTGTAGTATCACAAAATGAACAAAATGGTGAAATTTTCTTACGTTTGTTTAGTGTTTTGGAATTGATATTAAAATTTTCTACAGTGCACTTTAGGGTGTGATCAGAAAAAGACATACCTTTAACTCTTTGTGCTGCAACTACACCTTCCACTTCTTCTACCAAGAACTGTAGTAATATTACCTTCGTTTAGGTATGTAACTGTAGTAATATTACCTTCGCTTGGCATAGATAATCCAGCGGCAACAAATATCATTGGGGAATGCATGAATAATTTTTGGCACTAGGATTCTACCGTATGCTTCAATATTTTCACCCAGAGCAGTTAAAGCTTGAATTCTTCTGTTACATTGTATGTGAAGATCATTTAGATGCGTAGGAGATGGATCTTGAATAACATTTAAATGTTCTAAGTAATCTAAGTGTGATTGGATAATTCGATCTTTATTTCCATATCCTTCCTCCAACAATTTTTTGTTGTTTCATAGGTGTCTCCTATTACACTAATTCCATCAACAAGGCGTTTAGCTTCACCATCTAAATAACCTCTGAGGAAAACATGTTTTATCAATAACAGAAAGATGTGGATTGGCATCTATAGAAGATTTAAAACTGTTCCCAAAAACATTGCCACTGTTCAATTTCTCCTGTAAATGACTGTAGTTTAATTGTTGGCAATTTAACTGTATATGGTTGAGTCATAGGCACTGTAGTAGGAGGGTTGCCAATTATCATCGCTAAATCATTGATATCTATATTCGAATATTACATTATTTGGAGTTGGCGATAATTTATTTTGAATAATTTTTCGTGCTTTGAAAATTGCGGATTCACCAGTATCTATGTAGTTTTCACACAGCAAATTATCACTTTCATCGTCAGAAAGGAAGTTGTGAATTTCGTTATCTATTAGTTTCATATCATTTAAAGCAGTTGTTAAGCGATTACAAATATATTCAACTTTTTCAATTGAGAAATCATCGTTCAAAGTACCAATTTCAGTAGAAAAGCGAGAAACATTACTTCGCACGGCTTTCCGCTTTCGTTTCAGTTGCGTCATTTTGTCTACAGCTTCACCGGTCGGCGCCATTGCCCGAGTAGTAGAAAAGAACAAAAACAAAACTAAGTTTTAATGTCGGAAGTAAAATATTTCAGCAAGAATAATCCAACAGTAGGTAGTATAAGTTCAAGGTCCTGTTTCGTAAATGGTTTTTTCGGCACCAGATATTAGGAGATAGTATTTTATACTTATTTATTTCCTATCATAAACATGAAGTATAGAACAAGCAAAAGAACATTTATAAATACAAAACGTAAGTAATGCCATTCACAAAAAGGGTAATGTTGTTTTTAATAGTTCGCTGGCTTTGCCGCAACAAGGTGGTGCTGTAGCAGTCCTATAGAATAAGCATTTTGTGAGACTGTGTGATTATCAATTATGATCATCCTCTAGAAGTATTGTTACAAATTCCATGTACTGGAACTAAAACCAACTGGTTTTCAGAGATATGAATTTAAAAATTGGCCTTTTCAGCAGATGGAAAACAATATTAGACTGGCTGTCAAACATCCTGTAAACTAATGAGGCCTACTTAATGAAAGTCTAAATATACACAACACAGCTGATGCATCTGGATGAGAGGGAACCCAGATGTAATTGTGGAAGCCATTTTGCTTCTGCAAAAGATGAGAGCATTGCAGAGTCTCACTGTGTCATTCATTATTAGCCCCTTTTCAGGAAGTTCACAGCAGTACATTTTTATATCAGAATCAACTATTATCCAATGCTTTTAAGAGACATCGTCATTCCCACCGTGCAGGAGAGGCCAGGGCTTCATAATGTAACCAGTAGTGCAGGAGGTACTTCTGTACAGGTCCTGACCAGTCATTGCTGTGATCAACATTTGAGATTTTGTTCATGAATGGCCACTAGGATCTTTGGACTGTACACCTTGTGATTGTTAGTTATGGGGTTACTTGAAGTCACGGGTATATAGTGATCATCCTACATTACTGGCCACATTGAAGGAAGTTATTCACCATCATGCAACAGAATTATGGCTGAACCCTCGTCAGTGCTATGTGGAGTATGGGACCACATTTGATGGCTATGAGAATGATGTCCGTCACATTAAACATCTGTTATCCTAGTTGCATTGCAAACCTTGCTGCATCACAGTAAGGATTTCTAACAGAGTTGAAACGCCACCTGTCAGTGAAAAATGTAACTATTTTGGCAATTTGGAAATAAAATCTTTCTTTATTAAAAAAAAATTGCATCTTTTGTGCATTTCTGTGAAAAATTACATCACACTTCTATTTGTACTTGTTGAATTATTGAAATTTTAAATTTTGTGCTACGTTTGGATCACCTAGTACTGTTGCAGTATTTTAACCCTGAGTAGCATAACCACCTTTTATCTAGTCATGAGATTTTTTTCTTTTGTCACTTGGTATATATTAGATTATAATTTAAAATATTTTATTTGTTAATTTTTATAATGATATAAATATCATCTTAGTAAATGGAAGTTTATAGAAATGGGGACTAAAACAAGTAATTATAAAAATTTAGCTAAAAGAAGCTGTTTAAATGAGGTCTTCCTGAGTATATCCAAAAAGCTGTGCTACTCAGGGGGGTTAAAAATTAATATGAATGGAATGCACTGGGAAATGATTTGAATATTATAAGTATTTTAAAATAGCTTTATTATTCATAACAATGTTTTTAAACTGATTTTTCTTTCCATTTATTTAAAAAAAATTAAGTGGAATGATATTTTTATTTTTTATTTAAAAATTTTTTTTATTAATTTTTAAGCATTTGGTAAATTCTGTGTGATAAATTACTGATATTAACAACAAATCTTACTGTGACCAACAACATTAATTTTTTTTCCATTTAATATTAAGCATTTTGGTAGCATTTGTGATACATTTCTTGACATTGGGCAAATCCATCAAATATGTGTAGCATTCATTGAATTATGGGACTCAATTTAAAAAAAATTCAACATATTGTGTAATGTATAAATGAAAAAAAAATTAGATGGCTTATTTAATTCATGAAAAGTTAGAATTTTAGTATCCATAATTCTTTAATTTATGTTATTTTTTCACCATCTTCAAACTATTTTAAAGATTAAGCATTCTAAAAATTTTTCATTTAAATTTAATTAATTGTCTATAGTTTTATTTTTTTATTGTGCAATAATGTGTTAATGGATCTAATTTTTTTTAAATAGGACATACTTGAAGAATGAAATTAATATTCATAACACTTTTTAATGAAACATTGTCATAAATTAGATTGGTATTGAAGGAATTTTAATGAAACAGAAAACTTTTCATATCACACTTCAAACTATATGATGATTCTTGTTAGTGTTGAAATAACAAGAATTGTATTTATTCAGTTAAAAGATAATTTGACATTTTTAACATTACTTTTTAATTTGAATTTCTTGAAAACTTTACTGTCAACAGTACATCATTAATTCTTCTTGAATAATTTATAACTGTGTTGTTCTGCTTTTTACTATGTAGTTGAAATGTTTTATATATTGTTACATTATTATTCTTTTCTTATAGAATTTTGTGTTGCTATAAATTATGCAAATTTATAGCAACATTACTATTAATATTTTCTATTTTCAGTACCTACACTGTGCCAAAAAGCTCGTGAACATTTTTTAACAGTTAAAAACCAGTATGCAGTCTTACAAGAAAAAGTTCCTGTTGATGAATATTATAGGTGATTTTTAATTATTCATTTAATTTTTAATTTCAAAAAAGAATTTTTTGAATTTTGTAATTCATGTATGTAATCAAATTTCTCGGAGTTTATCTAAAATACTGATATTTAAAAAAGTACGGATTAATATTTCATTATTACCTTATAAGATATTTCTCCTGCCTTCCCAGCATGCCTTCGTGTTGTAGTGGTTCTGCACACTGGGCTGGTATTTCAGAGGTCCATGGTTCGATTCCCGGTAAAGGCAGTTCACTAATTTTTCATATCTGGCTTTTCCAAAAATCTTAATGTCTCTACAAGTGGCACCCGAACTAAAAGGGTGTTGGATGATGATTCTCCTCACCCAGGATTTGGCAATTGGGTCTCCTAAAAACCCCATCACCCTTTAAAAGTGTGAGTATATAAGGTATTTCTCCTGCCTTCCCAGTGTGCCTTCATAGTGTAGTGGTTTTGCACACTGGGCTGGTATTTCAGAGGTCCGTGGTTTGATTCTCGGCGAAGGCAGTTTGCTAATTTTTCATCTCTGGCTTTTCCAAAAATCCTAATGTCTCTACAACCTTTAATATACAGCAAGTAAATTAGGACATGATAAGAAATAATCACCTGTAAATATTAGGAAATGTATTTTAGTCTGTATTATAAAGATCTAATGCCAGTTTAGTCCCATACAAACTATTTATAATGGAAAAAAGCTGTCAGTTTTGAGTCTCAAGACTTTTGTTGATGATACAGGGGATTCTGAACTGTTTTTGCTGTTTCATATCAATTATTTGTACTATAGTGGAATGCTATTTTTACACTGGTTTTATGTGTATGTATTAATAATGTAAAGTATGTATTAATAATGTAAAGTGTGTTATTCTTCATATATTTTATTAATATTTAGTAAGTTCTTGTCTTCTTTCATTCATTCTCTGTAACAATTTTAACCTGTGTTAAATGAAATTTTATTAAGTTACAAATTCTCATTTAATTGTAGTATGTCTTTTGAATTTGTCATTTGAAGCTTCAGCTGAGGTGATGAAGCAATATAGAAATGACAAGAAAGCTGATACATATTTCATATATGAAGCAAGCTGCTAATAGAGATATATATAGCAAATTTATAACAAACATTTTCTTAACAAGCAAGCTGAGTCATAAATCAGTTCAGTGTCTTTGTTGCCATTTGTATGATTTGGGATTTCCTTTTTTTTGCAATGTTAATGAGGGTAAGGATGCTAGTTTTAGAAAGTTTGAGAGCCATAAGCAAGAAAGCTTGTGGAGCATGACATTATTGTGTTGCATTCCACAATATGTTATGTTGTATGATGAGCAGTTGCTCCCGCACCATTTTTGAAAGAGTCTGAGAGCCTTACTGTTATGGAAATGTCCTCGTCATGTGGACTTCAGTCATTTGTTTGTACAACAAAACTGTGGAACAGCTGGATTTTCTGTCATGTTATTTTCACACATGAAGCTACCTTCAGTACGACAAAGAATTTAACATATAGACTGCATGTGTGTGAGCAAGTGTTAACTCAGCAACATGTCTGCTTATACATCAGCAATGATTCTTATGTTTAGATAAGAATCATTCTGTCTAAGCATCAGGCATTATGTTGAACCAGAAATGATGGCAGAAAGTACCAGTTTCTTTCAAAAGATATTGCTAGAGCTGCCAGAGGAAGCAAGCAAGTTGGATCTAGCAAGATGGTTCCATACTTCAGCCCTAATTACAGCCAGATTTGCTATTGCTTCATGACCTCAGTTGAAGCTTCAACAGCTTGGCAGCATATGTTGTTTCAGCATGATGGAGCAGCAGCTCATTTTTGACAAAATATAAAGAACTGTCTGGATGCCCTTTCGACACTAATCTATCTAGCAAGATGGTCTCATACCTCGGCCCTAATTACAGCCAGATTTGCTATGCTTATAAAGATATCTCAAAAGCCTTGTTTATGATTCCACTTGAATCTGAAAAGAAATTCTGAGTACTGATGGAGCTGCATCACTATTATGAAGTTTGTGTTATAGTTGGTGACTGCTTTTTTGAGCAGTTGCTGTAAATATTCACAATTAAATTTGCCTTTCCTTCTTGTGTGTTATTCTTTTGTTTTCATTTCACTTCTTGGCTTTGCTATCAAACATCTTGGGACAACTTTATGGTCATTTTGAACTGTGCATTTATTAACAGTTGATTTATTCTAGCACCTATTTTTACCTCAGCTTTTTTAAAACTTCCTGTATGTAGAAACAGATTATGGTTCTAGCATTGTCAGTCATGTCTTTATCTAAATTGATATACCTCTTTATTAATACTTTTCTTTTCTTATTTCTATTTAATATTTCTCATAATATTCTGTTTAATTTTGCTTTCTTATTTTGCTGCTAATTTTTAAAATTTGTTTAATAAATTCATCATTTAACTTTATATGCAAAAACTAATTTTTTGATTAATTCGTTTTTTATCATAATTATTTTTAGTATAACATATATGTAATTATTAACTCGATACATATTTTCAGTACTTTTCCATTAAGCATATGCCACGCTTTTGGCACTTGTGAAGGAAAAGCTAAACATACATTGAAACCCAAAAATAGTGCCTTGCAGGTGCATAACAGGAATATACCATATTTTTTTGTGATGTGGTGCCATATTTTGTTTCATTTTTGTGAGAAACTTTCATAATTTTGTTTTCTTGAATGCTTAAGAGATTATAGAAATTTTCTTAATTATTTGAAAATATGTATATATCTTATTAAGAAATATAAGTATAGCAAAGAAGATTTTGATCATAGGGTTGGAAAATATTTAAAATTTTTTTGTTGTTGTGACTTATCTCACTTGTCTAATCGTGGCAAGGAGTGCAAGACTGCGCCTTTTGTTGGCAATAGCCTTGAGCACCATACAGCTGACAGTACAGCTTTGCTCACTTCTGCCTCTAATTTTGAAGAAGAGGAACCTGTGGGGATGGGTCTGAGGGTCCCCCACCCCTCTTCCTCTGCTACCAACCTCTTGAGAGTACTTTCGACTCGCCACATATTTAGGAGTGAAAAATGCATTACAAACCAACTCCTGAATTTAAACCTGGGCCCTTTAGTATGGCAGTCAGCGTCGCTAACCAATATCCCAGTTGGGCAGCATTTTTCAATTTTTATTTATAATAATATTGTTTGCATGCTATACTTTCATGGATAAAGGATTATTAATACTTATTTTTACAGATTGCTAAGATTTTTTTTTTTTTTTTTTTTTTTTTAGTTTTTAATATCATTTTATTGCAAAAGCGCATTTGTTTCTTAATATATGGACTTTTATCTTGAGCTTTTATTTATTGTAATTTTACAAAATGTAGGTATCATGAACATTGGAGATTTGTTACACAGAGACTGATTTTCTCTGCTGCCACTTATGTTTATTGAATCTGGGAATCTTCTGAAGAGAAGCGCTGCTGCGCTGCGAGTCGTATTTTGAGTATGGTTATGAGTTTTGAAGTGTGTGTTAGTTGCATTAGAAAAAGAATTGAAATATATACTAATTTATTTTTCTGTGGAAAAAGACTGTTATATTTTTTGTAGTATTTCCTTGAATATAAAATTATCTTTTCTGATTGGGAGTTTTTAACATTTATCATTTTTTGTTCTATTTCAATATTATATTAAAATTTTCATATTTATATTTTGTAGTTAGTGCTAATCCAACTGACCAGTTTCATGTAGAATTAGATGATTACTTGTTAGGACTTTTGCTGTTAGCCGATGAATTGGTAAGTTATTACTGTCAAAACTTATCTTTCTCCCTTGAAAAAGTATTTATTTACTATCATTTAAACATTGCTGAATATCATAAAATTACTTTGAAACAAAACTTGAAAAAAGCTAAATGCTGCAACCAAAAGGTTATTCAAATATACATGAATGATGACTGCCTTACAAGCAAATGATATAATATGTGTAATCCAAGACAGATAGCATTCATCTTTTTTTTTTTTTTTTTTGGTTTTTTGATTTTATTATTATCTTTCTCTTTATTAACATTTTTAAATGTTTCTTTTTGTGATAAATATCATATTGATAAAATTTTATGTTATATTAGCATGGAATATAACTTGTCTAGCCAAGTTTAAAAATATGAACTTTCTCATAATTTATTAAACTATTTTTGAAGGTTAATTATGGCCTATTCATATTTTCCACTATTTATGTAAAAGCATATAATAGTTTGAATTATATCAGTTATCTAGTCACTGACCAAAAAAATTATAAATAATATTTTTACAAATATAAATTGAATTGGCAGTTTAGAAAGCAAACCTATGTTGTAAATTAAAAGATTGTTTTTGCTTTTATGAACATTTTCTACCTTTGATGCATGTAACAACTGAAAGAGAAAAGAGTAATGATGCCTTGAGGGTTAAATAAACTAGAAATCTTTGTTAGTTGATAAAGGATATTCCACTTTTATTAATAATGTAGTTTTGTCTTATTTAGAATATTTTCATATTATTGACACATTAATTAAATATTGAGCGGTTTGTTTTTAACAAGCAGCAGCTTTCTAGCAAGTTTTCCGTAGTGCAATCATATTTTCTTATGCAGCAAAATCTGCCTGCACTGCAGGTGTTTGCACTCTGTTTGCGTGGAAAGGATATAGCATTGGTCTTGTAGCCAGACCACTGATTGGGGCATATTTTATTTCATGAAAAATTTTTCAAATGTCACACTGAAGATGATCTCTAACCCTCTCCAAAATACAGTGTTCTTGCATTTCTTGGATGGCCTGTATCCTGCAAGGTGCTGACAAAAAAGCTTATTTTATGCAGATACTTGCAGTTGCTCAAAGAGAGAACTATCAATAGTAGTCCAGAATATTCTTTACTAAATAGGAAAAGAGGAGTGAAAGCGCTTGAAACTTCTGGCCTGAATCTCAGAATTTTAGAGTTAATGGATGACATTGCAAAATATTGTTTTTTATTATAAAAGTGATGTTTCTCATCTTTCATCAGAATAAATTTGTAGTAGTAAGATTCCCATAAATTATCAGGAAGAGCAAGATATTGCAAAAAATTATTTTATAAATTCTCTGTAAATATAATCAATTAATTATGAATACGAAGTTTAGATCTGGCCAGCCGTTTGTTTTGGTGGTGTTAATTCTGAAAACAAGGCATTACATTGAAATTTTTAACACAGTACAAAGTCCGAGATCCGGACGTCCAATATCTGGAACAATCTAATATCCGGACCTCAAAACCAGCAACTTTTTTTTTTAAATGCTTTATGCATGCACATTTGATTCCCTCCCCCCTTTGATAAAACGTGTGTAGAACCTTGATTCTTAATTTCCCTTCGGCACTAAAATGCTAAATAAATACTTCGTTATTGAAGAAATAATTTAGCACAAATTTGTGTGATCAATAATTTGGCTCCATAGCTGCATATCTGCTTGGCATATATCTCAAACCGAAAAATTCTAGATAGAAACATTGTTAATTTTATGCCTACTATTTTATTTCCCTGACACTAACCTGGCAAATCATTATTCATTATATTTTCCTTTCATCATTGCATGTTTATCAACACAGGACCACTTGAGTAATTACTCATGCAATGATGCTCAAACAATTTTTTATGTTAGTAATTTTTTATATTAGTGCAAAGAGTAAAGCAATCTTTTATGTTGGCATTCTTTCTTGGCAATGATTACAGATTTAAGTTAAATACGCTAAGAAATATTGAGAAGGAAAAATTTAACAAAAATTTCTTACCATACTCTAAAAATAGATTTTGTTAATGATACTCATAGGCCAAAAGATTACATTTAGTGCTATTTGAATTAAGAATAACTGATTGTTTTTCACATAAACCCGCCAACAAGGCAGAGCTGTATGGCCGCACCGGCTGCAGATTTAGGGAGGCAACTTTTGAAATTTAGAGAAGCACAAGCAACAAAATTAAAGGATGAAAATATTTTTAGAATTTAGGGAAAACACTGGGATCGAAAATTTATGGGCTGCAAAAATTTAGAACTTAGGGAGACACAAGCAGAATTTAAGGCCCGCAGAGGCTGCATCAGGCAGTATCAGCACCAGCACTCAATAAGCCTTTAAGCCGAGACTCAATAAGTATATATGTGGGAATTTACTCATTCAGGATTCAGATAATCATTAAGCATGTGCAAGAAATAAACATAAGTATAATAAATAACTAAACTGATACAATCAAACTTAATTGTCTCAGTGCACGATAGAAGCAAGACAAAATTTAGCAGAACAACTAGTCTTTCATTGCCAATATCATGATAATAGCCAATAATGTAGAACGGACACTACTAAGTTAGGTTAAAATTATACTTTACTGATTTCAAGGAATTTCAGCCAATATAATAGATTGTGCTGTTTCTTAACTTTCAAATTTGATCCAGCTCAATTATTTTTTTGTAGGCTGTTTTTATTACAGCCTACAAAATATAATTGATTTGATGAAAATTAAAGTTTCAACTTTCGATCATGTCGAAAAGACTTTCTAATTCTGGAGCTGCAACAGGATCTACAAAAAGAAAGCATGTTTGAATGTCCATTAAACAAGATACGGAATTGCTGCAAAAAATGGATAAAAGTATATCCATCTCAAAATTATGCGAAGACTATGACATTAGAAAGTCTTATGTATACGGCATAAGAAAACAGAAAAAGGAACTTTTTGAATTTTTTTGTGGATTCCAGCACCCTGCTTGCAACGAATAACAGAAAAATTATTCGTTATGCTAAAAGTGAAGATCATGACAAAGTGATACTTGATTGGATCGGACAGCGTCACACAGTGAGGGTGTGCCATTGATGGGGGTAGAAAAAGCTATAGGCGGCAAAATCACTAGAAAAACTACTAAGAAAGAACTAAAACTGAGTGCACATATTCGAGAGGTTAATTAACCAAATTTAAAAATCACCTTGGTATAAGGCAAGGCTTCTTAAACTTTTTTCAGTTATGATCCCTTTTTATCACTGAGATTTTTATTGCGACCCCAGAACCCCATAATCTGAAAATTTTGTGGAATTCCGTAAGCATTATGCAAATCTGACACACACACATGAGTGAAATTATCACGATCCCTTTTCATCACTGAGATTTTTTCTCGAACCCCGGGACCCCATAATATTTACAAACATTTTGTGGGACCCCATAAGTACTGCACAAATCCGACACACGCGTGAATGAAACTGTCAATTTTTTCACTTGTACTGTAATATACTATTGCAATTTTAGGTCATTAACTTTAATTTCTAATTTTGAATCATAGAACAATGTGAAAATTTTAAATAAGTAACAGGCAAAATGACAGCGTCAAGTGCAAAGCAAGTAAAATGAACATTTATATTATAAAAAGAATGCGTAGGAACATTTTCATTTTTTCTATATCTATTTTCAGATACATTGTGTAAAACTATTTTGTATAATAAGTTAAAGAAATTTCAAAACTGCTAAAATTTTTGGTGAACCCCAGTTTAAGAAACTCTGGAAAGCAATTAAGAATTTCTGGTAAAAAAGCTTCAGCTTGATACTGAAGCTGCTAAGATGAATTTGTTGAACTCATGAATAGATAAAAGCTTTCTCCAGAAGAAATTTACAACGCTGATGAAACTGGTCTTTTCTAGCAGTATGTACCACAAAATACCTTGGCAAGCTCTATAGAAAAGGCTCCAACTTGTGTCAAAGATTCCAAAGCTAGACTAGCAATTTTTGCATGCACAAATGCAGCAGGAACGCACAAGTGTAAGCTTTTCGTAATCGTAAAAAATACACGGCCCGACGAGTCCGGATCTCGGACTTTGTACCGTATCAACTTGGATAATTTTATATCTTTGTTAGTTTTTGAATTAATTTCTTTCTCTCCCCCTTCCTGTTTTCCCCTCTCTTCCTTCCTATATTAGTTTGAGAAAGGAAATAAATCCTTTGTTCATTTAGGGAAGGGGGGACTTTATTTTTATTTATGTTTATTTATTTATTTATTGTGGCTGGGTGTTCAAAATCATTACATTCAAGTAGCAGTGATATGCTAAAGCTTCTGCATAAAAATTAAAAGGAGAAAGTGTTCTTTCGTTTTCCAGAATTTGTTATTTAGAATTCATTTCCATCTTCAAACTGGCAGTTTGGTAGAAGTGTAGTATAATCTCAACTATATTTTATTCTTGTTAAATAACGTAAAAGGTCTCTATTTATATTTTAAAAAAGAAATTGGATGCTAATGAAATAATTATTGTATGCCCATAGTAGTATGTAGTATTTTATTTATTATATGAATCGTTTATTCTCAAGATGTGTTAAGTCTCTTTGAAATTTTGGATTAATACCAGAAATATATAAGGCTATTTGCCAGTAATGCTGAAGTTGTAGAGCATTACTGTAGAAATAATTTATAGCAAGCAGCCACTTGCACAATTTGCTTTGAATTATCTGTAAACAATAGGGGGAAAAACCTAATTCTCCCAAATTTAAAAAAATAGATTTAACACTACTTGAGAATTAAGCAGTTTTATGTTTAATTGTAATGATTATTATTTCAGACACGTTTTTCTTTGAATTGTGCAACATATGGAGATTACAGTCGACCTGTACAGATTTCAGAATTTGTTTCTGAAATGAATGTTGGTTTCCGCCTATTGAACTTGAAAAATGATCTTCTGAGAAAGAAGTTTGATGGGTTGAAGTACAACCTTAAAAAAGTTGAGGAAGTTGTATATGATTTATCCATTCGAGGTCTGAAACCAAATGGGGAAAGTATATCAGTTTCCCAAACTTAAGAAAGAAGACTGCGTCCTGATTTCCTATGAAATAATTTTTAACTTGTGAATTTGCAGTTGTAATGCCGTAATGTAACAAGATTGTCATTTTGTATTTCTTTCCTTTTTGTATTAAAAGAATGTATATATGTTAATTTTGCATTGTTCTTTGTAAAAATATTATCATTGTGATAAGCAGACAAACATTGCAGGTATGTAAATGTTTTCCATCATCATAAAACATAGGATGATTAGTGTTTGAGACAAATAATGTTAAATTTCCTAAACTGTTATATATACGTATAGAAGCAAAAGTACAAATTGCTTTCTAATTGTAAAATAATTTATAACCATATATTGTAGCTTCAGAGTTCAATCTTTCTGTTATTTTATCGATTACTAAACATCAGGACAACTTTTAATTAAATTTTATATTCTAGTTGAGTCAGTGTCAAAGATACAACAGATTAATATGGAAATCTTTAAAAAAATTTGCATTAACTTCTTAATTAATAATTTAAGTTACATCTTTTCAAAAATATAACTAACCTATATCTTGAATGGGAGAGACGTGTGTTATTAGCTTTCATCAGCTTTTATTAGCTTTATTATTCATATGCTTTCACTGCTTATCTGTATTGCTTGCTTATACATTGCTTGTTATGGTACTGCTTATCTGTCTTTGACATTCAAGTGAATAAATTTGCTATTTATATAATATTCTCATATTGTTTATGAAATTTTTTTATTAATACAGATTTTTAAAAAAATTATAAATATATTTCAAACAGTGCCTTCTTTCAAAGCACAGGGATGGTTATTTGTATATTTTTATTATCTTTTATTTCATATTTCTCTCTTTATTTATATTGTTATGTAAAGAGCTCAATGTGTCTTTTCCTTTGTAGCATTGTATAGCCATATATGTTGAGTAAATAATCTTTTGTATTCCAGATTGGCATTGTCTTGCAAGATAATCTTTTTTTTTCATTTACTTATTAAAGGATTATGTATTTTATACTTGAAATAATTTGCACATAATCGTATTTCTTAATCATATATTAAAGTATTTTAATTTTATTTTTATATATTAAAGCTAAAATATCAGCAGCCATGATCACAAATGTTTTCTTAATTATGTAAAAGCACAATTGTTAGTTGAAAAATAAGTTAAATTTAGGTGTGTTAGGGATTTGCTCTTATTTAATATTTATCACTGAAGTGATAAATGAATTCATGCATTCATGCATATTTACACACGCATATATACAGAGTGTGGTGGTGAATTGGGCGATTTGGGAACAGCACTTGTCTTCGTTTGGCTGAAGTGGGAAGAATGATCCCATCGCCCAACTTGTAAAAAACTTATAAGTATTTTTAGTAACAACGAAGCAAGCACAACACACTTAAGTTGTAAAGGCATTTTATAAAAATGGCAACAGTTACCTGGTTGCTCAGCATGAATTTCAAAGAGAATTCAAGACTTATCATAATAATGCTTTTCCATCAGCCCATGCCATCAAGAACTAGATATGAAACTCTGAAGCCACTGGTTTGACAGTAATTAACCCTTTGCGGTCATATTAAATTTGGGGATGGGTATCGTACTGGTCGGAATTAATTTCTGTCGATAGAGCAGGGATACATAACACGCTTTTACGATGGTAAACAAGATTTAAGTACTTCTTTGTGAACTTAGATATATCTTTATTCATACACTAATTAGTGATATGTTTTTGTATAAAAATTATGTTTTATAATTCTCCTTCGTGTGATTTTTCCAAACCTCTCCAAACATGCAGGCCACAGGTTTTCGAGTGCATGATCGCAAAAATAATTGTTTGGTGCTTTTTCCACCCCTTATCTTTCGTTTGAAATACACTATAATCTTTACTTTTTTGTTTCCACAATGCCACATATATACAGTTTTCCATTAGTCTTTTCTTCCTTATCGGAGGTCGATGGTCTTCCTGATTTTGAATATGTTCCATCACGAAATCACCTACCAGTTGTGCCACCAATTTTCAGACGAACATAAAATGTGGCATAGGTGTCCTGTTCTCTCTTCTAGCTGAATTTTGGGGAATTACTTTGGAATATTTTAAGAAGAGAGAATGTTTATTTATTGTTAAATACTATTTATAAAATATTCTTTGGAATTCTATCAGGTATCGTCGAACATTGTCGCTTTCATTATATTCAAAAGACGACTGACTTGCCACTGCATCTTGCATGACGAGCGCTGGGTCACAACTTTTGCTTTGATTAGATTACCTTATCTTCAATTGATGGAGCACTGTTTTGGTTCGTGAATAGGTTCTTTAGGCATTGAGGTTCGTATAGGAAAAGTGTAAACTGATACATGAATGCATACAGTATACAATTCGTATAGTTCGTATAGTTCCTTGCTGTGGTGGCTGAGAACAGACATATGACCGGAACGGTAAAAAGGCTGTGGTGGCTGAGAGTGGACATACGACCTCAAAGGGTTAAAAGAGGTGGAAGTGAAAAAAAACAGTGTGAACATAGGGGCGGTGAGAGGCTGTTAAATGGAATTCATGCCACTCTGCTCATCATCATTTTCTAACACGTTTTCAGACCACAGCATTCGATGGCTTTTACATCAAGATCTTCATTTTCCATACCTATAAGATTCAAAATTTTCAAGCACTCTGGGAGCAGGCCTGTGGAAACAGACTTAAGTTTTGCCAGACACTTCTGCAGTTGATTAATGGAAATCAGAATCTCGTTAACAGTTTACTGATGAGTGACAAAGTCCATTTCCATTTGTCAGCATATGTTAACAAGCAACATTTCCTTTTCTGGAAATATTCCTGTGAAGATGCTGCAACAGGTAATTGGCGATGTTAGCAGAAGACTTTCTGAATGTGTATGGAAGGATTGTAGCCATCTAAAACATGATTTTTTCTAAAATTTTTAGTTTAAAAACTAAATGCTTTAATGTTTACTGTGTGTTCTTACTGTGCATATTTTAAGTAAATAAAGCTAATCTTTCACTCTTGATAACATTTTTAAAATTGCCCATTCACTGCCCCCATTTCAAGTGACGGAGTATGCGAGCACCACCCTCTACCATAGCGGTTAATTGGTATAGCACCGTGTCTCTCTTGTCTAGAGCATCCGAAGATAGTATAAGGAAGGCTGAGGGGCCACATGACCCCCTCACACAAGTCGCCGATTTAAAATATAATGTGAAGGTTTATAGAGCTTATACATTACAATCTTGTGGTAAGTACTATATGTAATGGGAAAAGTTTTCCCATGAATTTATGTTTGCTTCAATAATCATCCATTTGTATGAAAATATGATGAGTGTGTTAGACGCAATATTATTAATTCTTTCTTGTTTCATTCGTCTTCTCAGCGCTCGACACTTTTCCTGTTGTATGTGTAGCTCACTTTTCTACCAATGTAGCTTGTTAATTTGTTTAGTAGTTCTTACAGGAAGGCGTCCTCACATCCTTCATATACAGAAGTAATAAGATCATCTGTAAAATGCTCTATGTCTGCTGTAGATCTTATATCATTTAGGCATCTGTGGAAGGTGGAAAGTCATAATTTTATTATTCTTGTAAATGATCTAATCTTTCTTCCTGGCAAGTAATATCTTTTGACAAAGGCTTTGTGATAATTCTATCAGTTTCGTAGGTGATGTAATTGTGGTCTGATAGCTAGTTTCTTTGACCACCGTCCAATCTTGTATAAGTGTGGCTGCAGGTAAGGTTATATAGAGATAACTTTACTTTATCCTTCTTATATAGAGTGTTAATCTGAACTAATGGGGGGAACATTAGGCAGCTGTACAAGCAATATCCGTCATAAAATGTATGGTCGGAACGCAAATGACGAGGTGTTAGGTGGGCGTGTAAATGGTATAAAAAGGTTCAGTCCGCATCCAATGACCATTTTCTATCATGGATTGCCGAGAGGGCTGGTTACACAAACCACGAAATTTCCAGGGTGATGGATTGGTCAAGGTGGTCCCATAGCTTGACCACCAAGATTACTGGATCTCTTGTGTTCGGACTATTTCCTTTAGGGCCAAATTAACTCTTGTGTTTGGATTATTTCCTGTAGGGCCAAATGAAAAGCCTAATCTATGAATGCCCCGTTGAAACAAATATGGATCTAATCGTCAGGTTTGCCATTTTTGCCGCCGATATTCGGGGGGAAGGGGTGTCTTCGCAAATGTGCACTAGTCTCTATCACACAGGTGTGAAGCCTGCATGACAGCTACTGGAATGGCAGATGGCAGTATCAAATATCTTATGTTGCCATCAATTTTTTATAATTTTTCTTAGATAATGCAAAATTTGAAAGACCAACATTTAAAAGGAAAGAAATATTCTACAAGATGTTACATATCTTGTAGCATTTCACTAAGGTTTTAGTGCCATGAGATCAGGTAAGAGGATTATCATGTTTCTTAACCATATAAATGAAGAAAGGAATATTAAAATAAGTACTATAATTGTGCAAGTAAAATACCTTAACTAGTTCACCCACTATATTTCTAAAAGAATGATGCAACATATACATGATGCAAATTTAAATAAAACTTGTGATGAAAGCAAATTTAATATTAGATACAGCATAGGTACAATAATATGCCAAAAAGAAATAGAATAGTTAAATGTAGAATCAGCTATAATCTATTAGCCAAATGACAGATTCTGATTATTGCATATGCCTGCAAGGCTTCTGACTCTGGTAATCTCAAATTTATCATATAATTCTTTGCAATCCTATTTTTCCATTATAAAAACATCAATAAAAAAATCATCATTGAAGGATCTGCAAAGGAATAATATATTTAGTGTTTATTTTTAAATGTAGAAATTCTAAGCCAAATTATTAATTCTATTTAATTTTTTGTTATGCTGTTTTTGAAATGCGAAACATTTTTATATCTTGATTGTAAAGTGGGAGGAAAAATACATCTCAGAACTGAGTTAAATTGTGATTAGTTAGTCATGCAACACATTTTGCAAAAATTTCTGCTTTAAGAAAATTGCTTTCTTTTCATTAGGAAAAACAAAATTCATACTGCTTATGTCTCAATAATTTACATATTCAAAAACAAATTATAAATGACATATTCCTCAGAAATGTCTTTTCAAATTTAACAAGAATTTTAAAATAATAGAATTCCAAAAAGCATAAAATCACATGAATATTTGTAGAGCAAAGTTATTCTGATGTATTATATTTCCTGATATAAATTGTGTGTACGATTACAAAAATTTTAGAGAAAAATTCCAGTTGTTAAAGACAGATTACATTTCTACCTCTGTTAACCCAATATTTGCAAGCTGAAGCACTCCAGTCTTTTCTGCATTTTTTATATGCGGTTTTATAGCATTTCCCATATTTAAGAGAGACTAAATGTTGATGAAAGGTCATCAAATTACTAGAAAACAGATTTTACAATCCTATCTGTCAACCATTCAGCAATTTCATATCTACATTTTATGGAAGTTTTATAAATTGAGTAGATGAAAGTCAGACTATCACGGAGGGGGAAAAGATGTTTCCTTTTTGTTCTTTCTCAACTTTATTTTATTTTATATCTTTTTCTAGTACATAAGATTAATGACAGAATCTTTGAGAAATATGTAACCTTAAACTAAATTAAAAAAATTAATTAGCTTTAAAAACCAAATTTGTAATTTTCGAATCAGGTTCCATCTAAACGATTG